TATATAGTATATAATTAGAAAGATAAATATGACATTTCTATTTCCTACATATATGTACATCTATTACTCAACAAAATGCAAAAAGTAATATATATTGAATATATTGGCTGCCAGATACAAAACTAATATCAGGAGAGTGTTCAGGCAGCAGTCAGAGAAAGCTGTAGACACTGGGGTCTTCTTGAACCGTTTCTGTGGCATGACAGTGCACTTGTCCCTGATTACTTTACCTCCAAGCCTTGTTGTCTGAGTTAATGTGCTTAATTACATTTCCTATCTAATTAAATAAATTATACATGGCTTTGTTGGCAACTTAAGAACACCCATTGATAAAAATGTAATTATAAATAGCTGGTAATGTAATCACAAAATAACATCTATGTTGCTGGTGAAACTATATTGGTAGTAACTTTTATTGTTAGCAGTTAAGTACTAACTCTAAATTTCAGACTGTCATAAAAATAAATATATTTATGTTTTTCATGCTCAATTATTTTTATTTGGCAAAAATATTTTGAAACTAATGACTTATTAGGAAATATTGATTAGACATTTTTTTCAATGCAATTTTCCAGAGTGCAAAATTATTAGTATTTATTCCAAGATATTAATGTTTCAAGACTTCACTTCCAAGAAATGTTTTGAATAGTCTTCCTGTACAAATATCTAAATTTAATCTTCAACTACTGTGAGATCATGATAGATAATAATGTATTAAAGATCAGACAGAGGGGCTGGGGATGTGGCTCAAGCGGTAACGCGCTCGCCTGGCATGCGCGGGGCTCTGGGTTCAATCCTCAGCACCACATAAAATAAAATAAAGATGTTGTGTCCACCGAAAACTAAAAAATATAAATATTAAAAAATTCTCTCTCTTAAAAAAATATGTAAAAAAATCAGACATAAATATATCAGATCTTTTCATAAAAGTAATTTTAGTTAGGCATTTTACCTTTTGGAACCTATACATTTCATATATATCAATCTGATTTTTAAAAGTTCATAATATCAAATAAAAGATGATCTATTTTTGTTGAGTCTTATGTTTTTAATTTTGTTCTTTTAAATAATGTGTACATGAAATATGTAATATTTTTTAAGTAGATATGGGATTTTTTTCTTTGCTTCTTATAGTTCAAGTAGCATCACCCTGGCATTCATTTCAATTGTATATTTAGTTATAGAATTAATCATTTTTGAAAATCTCTCTGAAATGGAATAAATTCATTAGGATAAAATATTAAGGACTTGTAGGGTGCCCTCTGCTGCATAAATGTGGATGTGCAATATCCTCAATGCTTGCACCAAACCACACATTTTTTAAAAATAAGGCCATGCTAAAAATATTCAAGCACCACATGTTCATTTAATGATTTTTTTGTGAATTACTTGCCTTCTCCTGTACATGATCAAAGTGTAATGTTTTACTTATTACAAGTACTTGACTTTTTAAGAAAACTGATATATTGGATGTTTATTTAAGATGTATACTTACAAAGAAAAATAGTACTATACTGGATGTTTATTTAAGATGCATACTTACAGAGAAAAAATAGTACTATATTTGAAATGTTACTAATTTGCTTTATATAGAAAACATGTCATTATTAATTTTAATTTACTTTGGCCTGCTTATATTC